GGGGGGGCTGAAGCCAATAATTGGGGTTGGTCTGTCAGGACATGAGTAGGATCAATTCAGTCTCTTCATTTGGCTAGAGCACTTTAAAATGTAGTCTTTTCACTAGCAATATAATGCTTACATAAGTGCTGCGTGGTTAAAGGCTTTTAATGGAATTAAGAAATAACAATCCCCACCTTATTCAATTTCATGGTCGTCCTCCTCTGCTTCTCCTATTTTCATACCTATAAATATAAATACGAGATAATTAGCCATTACTATAAAAGAGCAGCTTATATTATAACATATTCATGTACATAGAAGTAAAGTCTTTGTTTGAAATTCTTGTCCGTTCTGTTCTTGAAGGATAGCTGAAACTTCAGTTTAAAATAGCAAGGATGCACTCTTAGGCTTTTCATGTCTATACCTGTTATATAAAAATACAATCGAAGTTCTATTCTCCAAGATTATCACTCTTTTTTTCGAGGAAAAAAAGCGATTGTCTTAAACAGGTTGACATTTTGGACAGTGGCATTATAGTGTAGGAAAAAAAACTTGCAGGGGGACGGGAGGGGGCAGCAATGGTCATTTGTACACGTGATTGTAAAAGACAGGTGGCCGATAGAACAGCTGATACAACTGTACTTACTTGTAATATATTTAACACTGTCTTAAAATGTCCTTTTTTTGTTTCAGACAAAACCATGAAAAAGGAAGCGCCAAAACGATCCCTGCTCCGTACCTTGGGGCTCGGGATCAAGGTAGGACTTGCTCTTGAGGCAGCAGGGCTTGTTGGATCTTACATTATGTGGCGCAAAATGAACAACGATAGAGGTAGGCTATTCTCACTTATATTTATTGTTCTTGTTCCCCCATTAGATCATACAAGGGACCTGACTGAAACTTGTTTCTCATTATTTGTTTAATTAAGTATAATTTCTCATTATTTGTTCAATTAACTATAAGAAATTATTAGTCCCAGTCCCGCTTAACTGGAGACAAAATTCCAGTTTATTTAATATTTGCTGGGGTCATCATTATTGCTGCACTATAGACTAGAAGCATTGCAATAAGCTTCGGTTATTACCACTCATGAACTTATCAGCTATCACAAGCTCACAAAGCACCGAGTCCCCTTCAACGCTTCATTTATTATGTAGGCCTTTGATTTAAGTGGTCCTCCGCCGCGAGGCCTGACAAAATTAACCTAGATCTACACCTCAAAAAATGATGCAAGACTGGACTAGATTACAGAATCTGCATGAACTGCCATTTATTATGATCGTGTTCTTTTGCCTATAATATAATATGAGTAATGTAAGTAATATCTTCGGTTGCAGCGTGTTAATAGTTTTGTAAATGTTATCTTTTTGTGTTATCACCAGGGCTCATCCTGATTTCTATTTGTCGAACTTTGGAACTTGGACTTGGGCATACTCTGCTGGTAAGGGAAACTTCACTTCGTACTAGATCTAGACTGAGTTGATTTTTTTTTTCAGCTGATCTATGAGAATTGTGGGGTCAATTACTTTTATGAATCAAATGTATTGTGAATACCAAAACTGATAAGTATAAGATTGAGAAAACGATAGGCTTTTGTGTATCGATCGTTTCCGCGGTCGATAGCCGGTGATGGGCTCTTCGATCTTTTGCTAAAACAATAAAAACTAATAAGCTTCAGTTAGTTCTTTCAGTTGTTTTGTTTTTGCTTTGATTTGTTTCGTCGTTATTGCTGCTTGAAACTGTTGCTGGATTTCATTCTTGAAGAAAGAAAAAAAGAATCCTTGAGCGTATTTAGGCCTGTATGTGCGTACACGCGCTTATTGTGGAGGGTTGGTGGTGGTGGTGGTTGGGAGGGGGGGGTCCGCTATGAGTGCTACAGGAGGGGGTCCGCTATGAGTGCTACAGGAAGGGAGGGGTCCGCTATGAGGGTATGATGCTACAACAAGGAAGGTGGGGGTCCGCTAT